GTGACTACAAGTTTGACTATCATAAATGACTATTAACCTGTAATTTTAAATTATATGTTATGTTTTTAAATGAGCTGTATAAACATAATACCTTAAACAAGGGTAGAAATATACATATGACAAAATTGATCTTAAATTTGTATCAATAAACCAAAGTCCATACCAATGTAAAAGGTTCCCCTGGGTAAACTTTGGTGGAATGGTGTCTCTGCTTGCCTCTTGGACCCTGGAGGAGGGGTGGACATTGTGTAGTCTCCCCAGGGAAGGAATCTGAGCATGGGGCTGACGTAGGCATGCCGTCCTCAGTCTGCATGTCAGTGATGTCATCATCAGCTGTTACTACTATTCTTGAGACAGTCTCTCACCAAGCCTGGAGCCCAGGGTTTTAGCTGGACTGGATGGACTGGGAGCCCTGGGGATCCCCTCTCCCTAAACCTGGACAAGGCTGGAGGGCAGTCAGCCTCTTGGTCCTCCTGGCTCTGTGCTCCACAGAGCTTTGGCTATCAGAGCATGCAGCCATGCCTAGCCATCTTTGTCTTTTGAGACAGTCTCTCACTGAACCTGGAGCTTGCTGTTTTGGTTAGTCATCCAGTGCCTGGGGTTTTTCCGTTTCTGTCCCCAGCACCAGGGTTACAGGCATGCATTGCTACACCCGGACTTACCTGGGTGCTGGGGACCTGAACTCAGGGTCACATGCTTAGGCATCTTTCCAGTCCACTTAGTAAAGGAATCTTTTTTTTTTTTTTTTTTCCGAGACAGGGTTTCTCTGTGTGTAACAATCCTGGATATCCTGAAACTCACTCTGTAGACCAGGCTGGCCATGAACTCACAGAGATTTGCCTGCCTCTGCCTTCCAAATGCTAGGATTAAAGATGTGAGCTCTCACCATCCGGTTTATTAAAGGAATTTTAATATAGACTTTAACATGATGGTGAGAGAAAAAGCCATGCAGGACATGCACGTGGGTCCTCCTGAGACCTGTGGCTGATTGTCACCTTGACAGAGCCTGGGATCATCCAGGAGACCCCCCTCTGCTGTGCCTGTGGGGATTATCTGACTTTCCCTACCTGAAGCAGGAAGCCCTGCCCACTGTGGGTAGCACCATCCTCTGACTGGGGTCCTGGACCAGGGACAGAAAGGGGCCTGAGTGACAGCTTGGCTCATCCTTTTCTGCTTGCTGTTGTGGATGCAGCGTGACCAACTACTTCCAACCCTCACCACCTTGACTTCCCTCCATGATGAACTGCACCCCAAACCATGGCCAGGATAAACCCCTTTATCTTTTTCTCACAGCCACAGGAAAAGGACTAGACAGCTGCCCCGGACCTGTGTCTCATTTATTTGGCATACAGCTGTCTCCCTTCTCTAGCACACGTACAAGCTCCATGGAGGGGGTGGTGGGAATTTGTTTTGCTTAGAGACCGGGTCCTGTATGCCATTATGTAGCCTAAGGTGACTTTGAATGCCCTGTGGAGCCCAGCCGGCCATAAACTCTCAGCAACCCTTTTCCCTCCACCTCCCAAGTACTGGGCTGTAGGCATGAGCCACACTCCAGGAGGCGGAGAAAAACTAGGGTGCTTAGTTGGTCAAGAGCAGAGGTGAGGGGGGTTGAGAAAATGGTTCAGTGGCTAAGAGCACTGGCCTTGGAAGCATGCAAACCTGGGTTCCAATCCCCAGCCCACGTGTAAAAAGCCAGGCATAGCTGCGCATGCTTGTAACCCCAGCACTGGGTGTGGGGAAGACAGTGGATCCCAAGAGCTTGCTAGCCAGCCTGCTGAGCAGAAAAGGGAAGCTTCCGGTTCCATGGGACCTGTCTCAGCACAGTGAGGCAAAGGGCAGCGGCCAGGGGGTTGGGGAGGTGAGTGGAGTGTAGGGGTTGGGTGGGTTGGGGTGGGTGGGGTGTGGGCGGGTGGGTAGGGTGGGGTGGGGTGGGAGCAACAGAAGAGACACCCAGTTACGTACTCTGTACACATATGGGTACACACAGTGTGCGTACACACACACAGAGAGACGCACACAGAGGTTGGGGCTAGACAGTGTCTCCAACCAGGATCTGGCTGGGTCCAAGTTGGAAGAGAACCCAGCTAGAATCTGTAATTGGTGCAGGCATTACTGTAGCTGCTACTAGGGGATTGGCAGGCATGGGTACTAGGTGGGGTCAGGGGTGGGGCTGAGGGCCTGACACCCGCCCCCTTCTAACCCTTCTCCAGAGCAAGAGCACAAAGTACATGCCAACTTCGCATGATACATGGAAATGAACCTATCAGATGTCCTCATGGCCGCCCATGCCAGTCTCCCGCGTGAGCGCAGGGTCCCTGGGCCAGTTTTCTCTGGATGGCTGGAGAGACCCAGCACAGTGAACACTGTATACATGGCCTGTAGATTCTAAGTGTGATTAAGCCAGTGCCCACTTACACTATCCTTAAAGTGGGAGACTATTCCTGGCCTTCTGGGCGTCTCTCTGACTCTCTGCCGCCCTCTGTTGGAAATCCTAAGAAGACGGGTTGTTGTTGCCTGTGGGAATTCCCTGAAACAGTAACAAACGACTCTGCTGAGTGAGCCACTTCCCACACAATAAGCCACCCAACACCTGTCTGTCTATCTTGAGCCTGGTTCTGATCCTTCATATTCTCCGGTTCCAATTTTTCAACGATTACTTTTCTGTGCTGGCGGGGGTTGGGGGGCAGTACTGCCACCTAGAGCTTATGGATGATCCACATTTTTGATTTTTTTTGGGGGGGGGCAGGGGCTCATGTGTCCCAGGCTACCCAGAAAATTCCCTGGGGATAATTTTGAGCTCCCGTTTTCCGGGACTATAGACCTGTGCCAATGTTTCAGACTGCTTTTTAAATTTTTGTTAGAACATATATTTGGATTTTCTTTTTCTTTTTTTCTATTTTCTTTTTGGTATTTCGAGACAGGGTTACTCTGTGTAACAGCCCTGTCCTAGAACTCACTAAGTAGACCAGGCTGGCCTCAAACTCAGATCACCTTCTGTCCCTACTACCTCTGAATGCTGAGATTAGAGGTGTTCACAACCACACCCAGTTTTATTTTAGTTTTTAAAAATAGTATCTATGTGAGTGTTTTGCCTGTGTGCATGTATGTATTTATTCAGTGTGTGTGCCTGGTGCCTAAGGAGGCCAGAAGAGGACATCAGATTTCTTGAGACCAGAGTTACAAATGGTTGTGAGTCACCATATTGGTGCTGAGAACCAAACTTGGGTCCGAAAAAGCTGCCAGTGTTCTTAACTGCTGAGCCATCTCTCCAGCTGCAGGAGCATATCTATTTTAAAAATAGTTGGCTGAGCATACCTGCCTGTTTTTAAAAAGATTGTGTGTGTGTGTGTGTATATGCATGTGTGTGCGCGCGTGTGTATGTATGTATGTGTATGTATGTGTATGCATGTGTGTGTGCATGTGTGTGTGTGTGTGTGTGTAGCCTCAAAGGCAAGAAGAGGGTGTCAGACATGGTGGCATTGGTGTTACATGTGACTTTGCTGATGTGATGACTTGCTGATGTGGGTCTTGGGAATCAAACTCCGATCCTCCAGAAGAGTAACAAGCAGGCTTACCCTGAAACCAGCTCTGCAGTTCCCACTTGCACGTCTGTAGTTTTAAATTACATACATCTTTTTTCTTGTATGTGTGTGGGTACATGTGCTGCGACCTGCACAGGGTGGCAGTCAGCTCTCTCGTTCCATCACATGGGTCCCAAGGTCACCTGACTTGGTTTGGCAGCAAGCTTCTGTACCTGCTGAGCTCTCACACTGGCCCTCACGTAGGCTTTGTGATGATTCCACTGTATTTTCACCTGGTTCATACCTGTGGCTCTTTTTAGAAACAAGCTGTGTGGCTGGGTAGTGGTGGCACACACCTTTAATCCAAGCACTCGGGAGACAGAGGCAGGAAGATCTCTGTGAGTTCGAGGCCAACCTGGTCTACAGAGGGAGTTCTAGGACAGCCAGAGCTACACAGAGAAGCTGTCTCAAACAACAAGCAAACAAAGGAATCTGTGTATGTGTTTGTGTGAGTGTGTTCATGCATATTTGTGTGTATGTGTGTGCACGTACGTGTGTGTGTGTGTGATTGTGTTCATCTGTGTGTGTGCAGGCACACATGTGTCACAGTGCCTGTGTAGAGACAGCCTCGGATCCTTGCTTTCTACCTTGCTTGAGACAGAGTCTCTGGTTCATTGTTGCCTACACCAGGCTAGTTACCCAAAAGTTCCTGAGAATTCTGTCTCTGCCCCCGGTCTTACCAAGGGAGTCCTGATTACAGATGTCCTCCAGTGCCCGGCTTTATGGGTGATTCACCCACTGGGGCCCTTAGTTCTGATGTTCTAGAAGCTCTTCTCCATCTTTGACTCCTCAGAGATGACCCGCAGTGGACACAGCACTGATTCACACAGGGCATGGGAACCTCAGGAAATTGAGGCCACCGTCTGCATGTTCAGGATCTGTCCCTCCTTAGTATTCATCTCCTGCTTTCCCCTGCCTCGGCCGGGCCCCAAGTCCAGCACGACCATACCAGGTGCATGTTTCTTGGTGAATAGTCAATGTCGTGCAAGAGAAACTTAATTCGAAGACTGAAGACTGGCTTATATTTCTCCCTGTGGAAATCCACATTCCCAGCTGGTAGCTCTTCTTCTGGCCCCAGGCCTTCCTGCGACATTCCATCAGCTGTCACTGCAGATACGTTCCTGAACTTTGGTATGTCTGAATATCCTATTTTGTCTCCTGCTTCAAATTTTTTTAAAAATAAATTGGATCATCCAGATGGTTCAGTAAGAAAAGACTCCTGCCAGATCTGAACTGGCCCTCTGGATCCCACATGGTGGATTAGAGAACCAGACTCTTGTCCTCTGACCTCCGCATGTGCTGTGGCACAGACGTGTGAATGTGAGTGTGTGCACACACATAGACACACACAAATAAGTAAGCAAATAACTAACACAAATATTTAAAGGGTAGGGATGGAAGGCTGGGTCAAAAGGCAAGTCGTGGCTATTGTTTATAAGATTGAAATATCACAAAGTATTTTCTCGGAACACAGCGGAAATCAAAATCAAGTCGATATCTCAAAACACCACAAGTATTTGGAAAGTAAATAGCCCAGAGGTCAAAAAAGGAAGCTAAAAAAATAGAAATTATATAAAACTAAAATGAGAAAGAAAAGAGGAATGGGGGGGGCATGTAGTGAGAGGGCTCGGTGGGTAAAGGCGTTTGCAGCCAAATTTGATGCTCTGAGTTAGCTTCCAGGAACCCATATGCCGAAAGGAGAGACATTGGCTCTGATCTTGGCTGTTTGTACATGACATATAATGAATAAATAAATATAAAAAGAAAGAGAAAAAAGAATCAGGCTTTGAGGTGCACGGTTATAATTCCCATCCCATCCGTGGAAGGCCGCGGCAGGGGGTGGGAAGTTCAAGGCCGGCTTCAGCTGAGTATGGAACACCAATGGACAAGTCTACATGCAGTGTATACCTAAGCTTACAGACCTGGAGGATGGAGCACCTCCTCCTTCCGTGTGAGCTCTGGGGCACCGTGAGCACACATCAGGGACTGTCTTTAGGGTTTTGTAGGTAGGGACGATAACATTCCCACCTCCTCACAAACAGGGAGTTTGGGGAATATTCTAGATCAGAACAGAAAGGTCACTTCCATTTTTTTAAAATATGTATTTGTTTGTTTACTTATCTAGTGCATGCATACACGTGGAAGTGTTTCTAAAATCTCTTCCTTTGGGGAACTGGAAACAACGTCTACTTCCTCCCAAGGTCCCCAGATAAACTGAGACTTATTCACTGAGGAACCAGAGGATTTGTTAGATTTCCTTATAGAGCAGGGATGAGGGGCCACAGGCAGCAGCCACACTGGAAGGTCTACACCCAGCAGGGATGGTGAAGCCTGCCCCCCACCATGTCCCCACTCCATTCCAGCCAGATGCCACATGCAGTTAGGGTAGAATTGTAGTCAGATGGCCGGGAGAGGTTGCTAGACACCCAGGGTAGGGCCCCATTAACCTGCCTTCTGCAAGGAAGGCCAACAGTCAGCAGATACAGCCATGGGATGTTTTATGTCTGCCCAGCCCAGCTCCTGAATATGGCAGTAGTTTGGTTTGTTAGATGCTCCAACAGATGGAACAAAAGGTCAGTGGACAACTGGTAAGGGCTATCTTCTCCTGCCCTGTGATTGCTGAGGATCAAACTCAGGTTGTAAAAACTTGATGCTAGTGCCATTATGTGCCGAGCAGCTCACCAGTCCCTGGTCTCCAGTCTCGAATTCCATACACAGTATTCCTTTGGGGCTACAGCGGACCCCACTGTAGCCTTTGCCCATTGGTGTTTTGTGATTCCTCTAAAAACCTTGATGTTATGCAAGTGCTCTACCACTGAGCCACACCCCAGCCCCTCACTGGGGGATCCTAGGCAGGGGGCTCTACCACTGAACCACACCCCAGCCCCTCACTGGGGGATTCTAGGCAGGGGCTCTACCACTGAGCCATGCCCCAGCCCCTCACTGGGGAATTTGAGGTGTAGCCATTGAATTACACCCTTGACTTGCTTCTTTGAGATGAGATGTCACTACACACCCCAAGCTGGCCTTCAACTCCGGCCTCTTGTCTCAGCTTTTGGCATCCTGTCTTTGGATTCTGGCTCCAGTTTGTGAATGGAATGAATGACTGTGATCCTAAATCCCATCACAAAGTCTTCCCTCTTCTATTCCTGTTCCTGGCAGTGGCTGGCCCATCTGAGTGAAAATCCACTGTTCCATCTCTGCCTGTGACATCTTCAAGGCTAATCTGAACTGCATCTGACACCAAGGCTTGATCTCTCTTTATTTGTTTTATGTTTTGGCCAGCAAGTATGTACGCGCACCACATGCATGTCTGCTGTCTGGAGAGGTTAGAAGGTGGCATCAGGTCCCCTGGAACTGGAATTACAGGCAGTTTTGAGTCACCATGTGGGTGTTGGGAACTGAACCCAGGTCTTCTCGAAGAGCAACAATTTCTCTTGACTGCCAAGCCATCTCTCCAGCCATGTTTGATTCATTCATTCATTTATAATTACATGTCTGTTTGTGGGTAAGTGTGTAAGTCAGTCTGGGTGTCTGAGGATGCCAGAGACACAGAATCTCCCTGAGATGGAATTACAGGTAGAGAGCTGCCCAATGTACGGGAACTAAGCTCCGATCTGGAAGTGTCACAAAGGCCTTTAACCCTCAGCCATCTCCCCAGCCCACCCTTTTACTGTTTTGAGATAAGGTCTAGCTTAGTAGCCCAGGCTAACTTGGAATTCATGTGGATCAGGTTGGCCTCCAATCATGATCCTCCTGCAGCAACATTCCAAGCCGAGTATTAAGCACATGCCACTATACCCACTGCTGGGTTGTCATGCCTCTTATTGACAAATGGCACTGCACGGTACATCTATGCACCCCAGTGTCAGTTCCTGGACATTTAAACTTTGAGCGCAGTGTCCCAGGTACCATGCAAAGCTGGGCTTACCAGACAGTGGCTGCTGAGTTTCAGGCCAGCCATGGGTACATGCAGAGCTGTCTCAACATAACATAATAATAAACAACAACATAATAATAAACCACTGGGTGGTATGGCACACGCCTTTAATCCCAGCACTCAGGGAGGCAGAGACAGGTGGATCTCTGTGAGTTTAAGGCCAGCCAGGGTTACATAGTAAGACCTTAACCCTAAAGAGCAGTAGGAGTCTACATTCCATTTGTTATATTTGTGCATGTGTACATGCGTGTACGTGTGTGTGTGTGTGTGTGTGTATGTTTTCTCTACCATGTGGATCCAGGGGCTCAAACTCAAATCTGTTAAGCTTGGTGGCAGGCACCTTTACCCACTAAGCCATCTCACTAAACCCACCCCCTTTTGTGGGATGTGGTCTTGAGATGCAGCCCAGTCTGGCCCCTTCTGTTTTTTTCCCTCAGAACCCAGTCTTCTAGGATCACCACCATGCTGTCAGCGAGCATGAAGACAAGGCTGCGTTTGAACGATGGACTACCAAGTCGGAAAATGACGAAACATGACCACACACAGATTAAATACATGTGTACTTGTGCAAGTGGCCCACCAATGCAGCAGACTGCCCCAGTCAGTTCCCCTCTCCTGAACATCAATGACACTGAGGTGTCACTTTCAGAAGGTCAAGGAAGGAGGAGGGACATCCTCTGGGCCTGTTAGGAGGCCTGGGCAAAGAGAAGTTAAGCAATTTCCCAGGAGAGATAGGAAGTACAGCCCAGAGACTAACAGCTTCCCCTCTGAAGCACACAGCTGGGAGGCTCTCAAAGTCTAGAGCCCCCATGTTGTTGCCAATGTCCAGACGTGCGTGAGGCTCCAACCCCGGCCCCTGTGCTGACCCCTGGCTGCCTCCCCTTTCTGACTTCTCAGGGAAAAAAAAAAATAAAACCCAACCCAGGCCAGGAAGCATCCATCACAGGCTGTCCAGCCGAGGCCGGAGGGGCAGAGGTCAGCAGGGAGATGACCTCAAGGATTCTGTGGGGACTGGGATCCGGCTGGGCTCCAGCCTGAGAGGCTGGAAACTTCCCACCCTGAGACTTTTCCTGCATCAACCCAGGAGGGCGCCCTGGATGCCGCCGGCCCAACCCCCCAGCTCCTTCCTCTTTGGACCAGGTTCCCCCACTAAGCATGGACAGGGAGGGCCGTGCCAAGGTGGCATCCGCAAATCCAGAACGGCAGACCCTGAGATAAATAAACTAGTGGTGTCTGGTTCAGAGCGGTCAAGCGGCTGCCTCAGAGCCACACAGAGCAAGGATTCAGTATCAACGGGCAACTGGGCAGTGTCTGGCCTTCTACGGCTTCTGTCCATGTTCACTGTCCTCCCTAGGAGTTGGACCCCAGCCCTGGTGGCCTTGGGTGTGTGCAAAGAGTGCTTGGCCCTGGGCCCTGTCTTTCCTCCCCTGCACTTGGGACTCAGCCCTTCCTAGTGTTAAATAGAAACCTCTTTATTCTAAGTATCTACCGTTCCTTAGTACGTTGGATTGGGGCCAGACCTTGAGGTGAGGGGAAAGGAGGTGGGGTGGGGATATTTTTGTAGAGCCTTCCAGAAGGCTCTCCGCCATGCTGGGCTATGGGGGAGGAGGGTGCTGGGAATGACCTCGGCAGCCTTGGGGAACTCTTCACTCATCCTGGCCTCTGTTTCCCTTCTAGAGGGGACACTCCGGGCAGGGTGGGAGATCTAAGGCACCTGCCATCCCGGAGGTTGGTGTCTCAGGCAAGGAGTCACATGGAAGGGAGGAGGGTATCTCCGCAGCAGCGTGGGCACCAGGAGCCTCAGCGTTGGGCTCGGGCTCTAACTGACGATGGAGGACGAGGCCGCAGGGGCAGACAAGCCAGACTGGGCCTGGCCAGCCGGGAGAGAGGGAGGCGCCCCAAGAAGAGAGGGAGGCCGAGGCAGAAGGATGAGCGGGGCACCGGAATGTCAGCAAAGAAGGCGCGGTCCCGAGCTGGTGATAGGGTACCACCTTCAGATAGTTCCAGGTCCCGGGCCACCGCCAGAATCTCCTGGCGGGCAGCAGTGTTCCGAAGTCCTCTGATGTCCAAGAGGGCTGCCACATGCTTCCGCCTGGCGGGAGAGGAACACAGATACTTACTGGAATGTCCTGGGATTCTGACAGGTACCCAGCCCATCGGTGCACCCTCTTGAACTCTGTCTCATCTCCTTGAGCCATCTCTTGTTCCAATCTCCTGCAGTCACTTCCAAATTTTCCATGTAGAATCTTCCAGAACTCTCACCTCCAAGCTCAGTAGGAAAGTCTTTTTGTCCAATGTCTCTAATACCGTTAATTCAGCTTTCAGTCTTCATTCTAATTTACCTCAGAAGTCTCCTCTTTAAAAGAATTTTTACAGTAATGGAGACTGAAGCAAGAATCTCACACCTGGAGGGGTCTAAGCAGGGGCTCTACCGCTGAGCTACACCCCAGCCCAACCCTCACTGGGGGATTCTAGGCAGGGGCTCTACTACATCTCTAGCCTACTTTTTAGGTTTTATTTTCAGATAGCATCTCATCAAATTTTCCAGGTTTGCCAGCCTTGACCTTCTGATGATGCTCTCCTCCCAGTCTCCTGAGTAGCTCGGTTTACACAGCTGTGCTGTGATGTCCTGACTGGCTCAGGTGTACTCACTTGGTGGACACTGCAGTAACCGTAGTTCCTTCATCTCTTTCCTCACTCAGCCTAGGAGGTTCACCCTGTTACATCCCCACCCCCTTTCTGCAGGTTTGGGAACCTCCTCACCATGGACAGCCAAACCTCAAGTCACTGTCTCTTCATGTAGATCATTCCAGAACTTTCATCCCCCAGAATGCTCACTTCACTAACATATTCCCCAAGTGGGGCACCTCTGAAAACTCAGAAGTAGGGCTACAATTCACACTCAAGTAATCTTTGAGCTCAAAACTCTCGTCTCTAAGTCCTCATCCTAAATCTGAGCTGTTGTCTCAACTCCACCTCACTGAGTCAAAACAAAGCTCCCAAACTGGTATGATAGATAGCACCTGTGATCCCAGCTGTGAGGCAGGAGGATTGTCACACATTGGAAACCAACCCCAGGCTGCCTCAAAACAAGCCCTAATTAGGTCTGGCAAGGTGTCTCAAGGCACCTGCAGCCAAGCCTGAAGGCTGGAGTTCAATTCTCACTCAGCAGACCAGGCTGGTCTCAAAAAACAAGAGATCCACCTAATCTCTGCCTTCAGAGCGCTGGGACTAAAGGCGTGAGCCACCACGCCCGGCTGGACTGTAGTTGTTACTGTCAAACTGTCCTAGATAATAATGACGTTGACGGGGTAATTCCTGCAACCAGTCCACAAATAAGGTTTTACCATTCCTGGGCAGCAGTCAAGGAGACTGAGACTCAAGGAAGGTCCCATCAAAAGGAAGTTGGCCCACCTAGATTCGGACGTGCTCGTTGCTGTCCCCTGTGTGTGCGCCCGTATGCCCGTGTGTGTCCCTCGTGTCCCCGGCGGTTCCCTGCACGGCCAGCCCTTCCTGCCGCCGGGCGGCCTGCGCCCCCCTTGCCCTGGGCTTCCTGTGGCCGCTTGTTTGTTTGCGAGCACTGGTGGCGGTGGCGGCCGAAGGAGGGAAATCGTATTAAGAATGCCCTGGTTCCAGCAGGAAACGGCCGTCAGACACGCTCGCCGCCACCCTGCCTTGGCGCGGGCCAGGAAACACTGGGACGGATGCCAAGGAGACCCGGGCCTGTCGGCATCTCACCTGATGTCTGGGTAGTCGCGCACCAGCACCCCGACCTCCACCTGGATGCTCGGAGTGTCCTCCAACTGCAGGATCTCGGCCAAATGCGGCACCACCTGGTCGAGCCAGGAAGCCTGGGATTCCTGAGGGGGGGAGAGGGGGGCAGAAGGGCTCCAGGGTCACCCAATGCAAACACCTAGTACCCTGTTCGTGCTGAGCCCTGCTCCGCTCTAGGTTCTTCCCCATGTCTAAAAGGACTCTGAAGGCAGGCTCTGGGCAGCGGTTAGCTAGAACCTTTGCTTATATGAATCCGGGGTTGGGTAATATGATTTAAAACCTGCCAGCTAGCCGGCGGTGTTGGCACATGCCTTTAAATCCAGCACTTAGGAAGTAGCAGCAGGCGGATCTCTGTGAGTTCGAGTCCAGCCTGGTTTATAGAGCGAGTTCCAGGACAGCCAGTGCTACATAAAGAAACCTTGTCTCAAAAAACCAAGCCAAACAAACAAACAAACAAAATAAAATAAACACCCTGCCAGCAAGAGTGGCACAGTCCTTTAATCCCAGCACTTGAAGCATGAAGATCTTTGTGAGTCCAAGTCCAGCCTGGTCTACACTCCCAGACAGTCAGGGCTACATAGAGAAACCTGTCTCAAAACAAAACAAAACAAAAACCTAAGGTATTCCATCCAGGTTTGGTGGCAAATGCCTATAATTCCAGCATGTGGGATGCAGCGGCAGGAGGGTCTGGAGTTTAAAGTCATCTTCAGCCATAAGGAGATTGAGGCCAGTCTCAGTGGCAGGAGACCTTGTCTCCAAAACCAACCAACCAACAATAACAACAAGAAAACACCAGCACTAGGTGGGAGGGTGTGTGGTGTGGGTGGGTGGGTGGATTGGGGCTGTATAGCCAGAGGCCATCTCAAGAGACAGGGTCAAGTAGATACAGACGCGTGGTCAACTGAGGCCCTGAGTCAATTCCTCATGAGGGAGGGGAGCATAAATTAGAACTATTCCAAGTGGGGGGCTGAGGGCCAGCATATGCAAAGCTCTGGGTTGCTTCTTAGACACTGCCACCCAAAGGGAAGAGTGCAAAAATGTTACCATATAGAGAACACCGCAAAAATGTCCCCAGGGAGTACTCCGCCCTCTTTCCTGGGACTGCCTGCAAGCCCACAACAATTATCTTGAAAATGTTTCAATAAATGAAACTAAACACAAACTCCCAAGGACACAGGCAGCAACTGTGGCGTTCCTGGGCCCCTCTCCCAGTCCCCCCACGACAACTAAGGTTTGGGACTTCAAATTCTTGGCTTTGGTGACACTTGAATTCAGAGGTGTTTTGTTTTATTTTTTTGAGACAAGGTCTCACTACATAGCCTTGGCTGACCTGGGTGGCCTCTAAATCATGGCCCTCCTGGCTCATCCTTCACAGTTCTGTTATGACAGGGTTACCATACCTAGTATATCTTTTTCTTTAAGAAACTATCTTAGCCAGGCATAGTAACTGCATATCTTTAATGCCAGCACTCAGGAGACAGAGGCAGGAAGAGCTCTGTGAGTTTGAGGCAAATTTGGTTTACATAGCAAATTCCAGGGTAGTCAGGAGTGCATAGAGAGACCATCTCAAAAAACAAAACAAAACAAAAATTATTTTCTATAGAGAGGTGTTCTTTCTGCACCGTGTGGATGCCTGGAGCCCCAGAAGCCAGAATATAGTGTTGGATGAGCTACAGGCGTTTGAGAGCTGCGGTGTGGGTGCTGGGAATAGAAATCGAGTTCTCTGGAAAAGTAACCAGGGCTCTTAACCCTAAACCATCTCTCCAGTCTCCGCCCCCCCCACTTCCGGGATGGTTTTCTGGCCATAAATTTGTAGTCCTCCTGTCTCAGCCTCCCTAATGCTGGGTGGCAGGTGTGCACCATCATGAACCCGGTTTCTGTTGAGGATCCCTTTCCCAGAGCCTTCCCTCATTCTGCTTTGGAAGCCAAGCAGCCCCTCCCCCACCCCGCGCCTGGGTTTCCCCAACTCAGCCTGGCACTCACCAGCCTCCGAAACAGCCGTTGCAGCTGCGCTGCGTCCTCACGGAGCCTCCCGGCCACTCGACTGCGGGTCCTCGCAGAGCGACACCGCAAGCGCCCGCGCAGCAGTGGTCGCACGTACTCCACGAGCGCCCGGCGGTGCAGTTCGGCCACCAGCACCTGGGAACAGCGAGAGACCGGGACACTGGCTATATGCTCCAACCCAGCAGGTTCATGAGGCACCCCGGTTCCACGCTCTGCGTACCCAGATAGTACACTCATGACATCCGATGGGAACCCGCCCATTCTCACGGAGTGCCCAGCTCCTCTACAGTCAGGCCCTCTCCGGGTCCCCTTATCCTATCAGATCCTTAATCAGATATGACACACATCATTCTCCCTAAAGCATGCCCCACCCCAGGCTCCCCCACAGTTTCCCTTGCAGAGGACCCCACCGGTCCCTGCACCTTAGTTTCCAGGGGGCATATCTCCCATCTGCAGCCCTCAGATATTCGAGGTGCCACCAGAAAACTGACATCCCATTTGGTAGGGTCTCCCCCAGAAGGAGAGCATTCTGGTCAACACACCTGGTAAGGCTCATCCTGCATTCTGCGCAGGGCCAGGGCCTGGGCGCCGAGTGTGCCCACGATGCCATCCAGAGCCTCAGAGCTGCTCAGCCACTTCCTGCGCATCAGTTTGTTGAAGTGCGGCTGGGAGGACAGTGTGGAAGGGCGGGTTACAGCCTCCTCCCCCCCCACCCTCCCACACCTCTCCTAGGCAAAACTTCTTATCCTTTTGACGCACAGTGCACGGGCTGGCCTTGAACTCTTGATCTCCTGGCCTCCATCTCCCAAATACTGGGATTACAGGTGGGTGCCGCCACTCCAGCTTGGACCACTTCATTCCAACTCTCCCCAAGGGAAGAACAAAGGCTGTGTGGTGATTGCGGACACATTGGTGAGGAGCTTTGTTGCCTTGCTGGGACTTACAGCCAGCACAGTGTCAAAAATGGCTTCCTGGAGAGGAAAGTCCACGCTCAGAGGACTTTCTACAGGCTAGTAGAGGACTACTACAGGCTAGTGTAGAGGCGGGACGAAGTGCCCTGAAAGGTGCGGGATTCGGAGAGCCACAAGCTTGTGAGAACCCGGATGGAGATCAATGTGGCTAAAGACGTCATTTGCATCATTTTCAGGGACCAGTGCAAAATGAAAACTGGGAACCCATAACAGGGTGTGATGGCACACGCCTGTAATTCCAGCACTCTGGAAGGATCTCTGAATTCTAGGCCAGCCTTGTCTTCACAGGGAGTTCCAGATATAGTAAAACTTTGTTTCAAAACAACAAAAATTGGGGACCTTCCTTCAAAAAACAAGACTGTCAGAACTGTGTTTCTTATTGTTACCATCATCACCGTTGTGCTGGGTTTTGGGGGGGTTTTTTTTGTTTATTTGTTGTTTTTTTCTTGGTTTTTCGAGACAAAGTTTCTTTCTTTTTTTGTTTTTTTTTTTCCGAGACAGGGTTTCTTTCTTTTGTTTTTTGTTTTTTTTTCGAGACAGGGTTTCTCTGTGGCTTTGGGGCCTATCCTGGAACTAGCTCTTGTAGACCAGGCTGGCCTTGAACTCAGAGAGATCTGCCTGCCTCTGCCTTCTGAGTGCTGGGATTAAAGGCGAGCACCACCACCGCCTGGCATGTGCTGGTTTTTTGATACAGGGTTTCTCTGTGTAGCTCCGGTTGTCTGGAATTCCCTCTGTAGATCAGGCTGGCCTCAAATTCAGAGATCCACCTGCCTCTGCCTCTCAAATGCTGGATTACAGGTGTGTGCCACCACCTCAGGCTTTATCATTATTATCAGTTTAATTGCTCACTGAATAATAGTCTAATCATTTTCAGACAGTCTCATGTACCTCAGGCTACCCCCAACTCTATGTAACCGAGGATAACCCTGAGTTTCTGATCCTCCTGCCTCCGTCTCCCGAGGCCACAGGCAGATACCACTATCACCAGCTTCACTTTCTGTGTTTAATTTTGGAACAGGGTCTTATTGTGCAGCTCAGGCTAGTCTCCATCTTGGGATGTTCCTGCCCTCAGCTTCACAAGTCTTCAGACTGTGAAAATGTGCTGACTGAGACTTTGAAGAAAGCGGCCAGAGAGAATTAGGCCCACTCGCCTCTAGTGAGTGTGTGCTGCGAGCCGTGTGATTCCCTGGTGGCTAGTCTCGGTGCGTGAGGGAGAGACACTTGATGGTGTGTCTGGTCCATGGGGCAAAGCTGGAGCAAACAAGGTCTCCTGGGATGTGAAGAGGGTCAGCTTTTCCTTGGCAGAAACAGGGGACTTGTGGGAGGTTGTAAGTAGGGAAGGGAGAGGGTCAGGTTCCCCCTTGCTTGGCATACACCAGCATTTGTGCATGCACCCTCCACCTACACACACACACACACACACACACACACATATACACACATGTAGGTACACACACATATGTACACACATGCACAACATGCACACACATACATAACATACACTCACACAGTCACACATACTTAAACACACATATATACATGCATACATATACACGCATGCAGATACATATACTTACACATACACTTATATATATGCATAGAAACTCACACACATATATACACACATACATATATGCATGCATACACACACAGGCACACACACACAGTTACCAGTATTGAGAACAACGCCACCAGGGTACAGACTGAATATTCATGGCCGCTCTGACTCCGTGCATCTCTTTCAGTTGTCCCTCCTCTGTGGCCCCACGACAGTTGTTCCTCCCAAACTCCTTCCCTTCCTCTCTCGTCTACCAGCTTTCTCAGATTTTCCTATGCCTCTAACTGTACATCTCAAAACCATAGGCTTCTCTGGGCATGGAGACTCATGACTGGAAGCCTGGTATTTGGAAAGGTGAACCAGGAGGTCTTGGGAATTTGAGGCCAACCTGGACTACATAGTGAGTACTAGGCTAGCCAGAGCTACAGAGACCCTGTCCCAACGCCCCCCACCTTTAATCCCACCCTGAAGTGCAGAGGCAAGTAGATTTCTGTGAGTTCCAACCCAGCCTGGCATCACAGAGAGACTATGTCTAAAACAAACAAAATAAGGGATTCAGTGGAAGGGGAGAGTTGGAGATGTGGCTCAGTGGTAGAGCCCCTGCCTAGAATCCCCCAGTGAGGGCTGGGGGTGTGGCTCAATGATAGAGCTCCTGCCTAGCATGGGAAGTGCTGAGCTTGGTCCCCAGTTCCCTAAAGGGGCAGGAAAGCAAAGCCCTGGCACATTGGGCTGCAGTAGGTGCTTTGGGAGAGGAAACAACAGGGAATCAGTGCTAGAATTCTCCAGGACCCCTACCTACTCTTCCTCCTCCTGCAGCAGATGTGGGTAGAGCTCCCCTGGACACGTCGACTCTGAACTCCTAGGCTCAAGGGATCCTCCTGCCCCAGCATTTCTACTAGTTGGAGGTACAGGTGTGTGCTGGTACACCCAGCTGTCTGGGTCCAGTCATCTTCCTGTTGTACTTTATGTGATTTTTATCGAGACGGGTTTTCACTCTGTAACTCTGGCTGCCCTGGAACTCACTGTGCAGACTTGCCTGGTCTCAGACTGCCTCCAGAATGCTGGGATTAAGGCCATGTGCCACCACAGCTGGTGGGCCAAAGGTGCTATGTTTTTAAAATATTTAAATTATTGATTTTTATTTTATGTGCACATTTGGCTGTGTGAGGGTGTCAGATTGCCTGGAATTGGAAAGCTGTCATGTGGGTGCTGGGAATTGAACCTGGGTCCTCCTGAAGAAGAGCCAGTGCACTTAACCACTGAGCCATCTCTCCAGTCCTAGGTACTGTATTTTAAGTGGAATAATTAGGGAACATCTCCCTAAGAATGAAAGAAGCTGGGCAGTGATGGTGCAAACCTTTAATCTCAGCACTAAGGAGGCAGAGGTAGGTGGAGCTCTGTGAGTTCGAGGCCAGCCTGGTCTACAGAGTGAGTTCTAGAACAGTCAGAACTACACAGAGAAACTGTGTCTCAAAAAATCAAAATAAACAAGCAAACAAATAAATGAAAAGATTTGAAATAGGGGAGGAGGGCAAGCCACGGGGCTATGAAAGGAGGAGCATCTGAGCAGAGAGAAAGAACCACAAGGCCTGGGGCCCAGAGGCAGGAAAGCATTAAGGAGCTGGTGTTACCCTGTGAGTGGAAAGGAGGCTCGGAGGTGGGAGGATATGAGGTCTTAGAATAGCTGACTGGGGGCCTGGGGCATAGCGAGGCTTCTGGCTTTTTCTACCTGGGAGTCTAGGATGAATTCTGAGCATAGAAAGGGTATGTAGGGTCCCTTTATACTGCTACTGAATGGCTCTTTGCCTCCCTGTGGTCCACAACACAGGACCAACCCACTTATTACCTCACCCCCTCACAACATTTAAAGAGGCTCTGGGCCATAAAGAGGCATGACTTTGAGGAACCTCAGTAGGGAAGGTACTACATAAGCCCTCTCTTGCTGGCAGCTCTGCCCATCCCATTCAGCCACATCCTCCCACCTCTTCCTTCCTACGCCCCCCTTTCCCCCCTAAACAGTTCCAACATGGCATCACCCCAGCCCTCCCTGTTTCCCGGAACACTGAATCATGGGTTAGAAGGAACAGTGGGGTGTGGGGGGCAATGCCAATCCATCCTGGAACTGCTCCGCCCCCTCGCACTCACCTGTAGTTCCTGGAATAACAACTCAGCCAGGACACGATGGCAGAGTCGGGTCACACGGTCCAAAGCGATGGCTGAAGCTTCCCGAGCCGGCTCACTTTCAGGGGGCCCCACCCTGGCCAGTCGCTCAGCCAGAGACCTGTGGGGATCAACAGGGCTCAGAGTCCAACCTTCCAGCATCTGAGTGGCCCTGCCGGAACCAACAGGGTCTGGGGTAGCAGGTCTCTGATCCCAGTGATGGAGGAAGCTGAGGCAGCAGGGATGTAAAGTTCAAAGCCAGTCTGAGCTACAGAGTGAACCTCGCTTGAATGGGGCTGGAGAGGCGGCTCAGTGGTTAAAAGGACCCAGGTTCAGATCCCAGCACCCACAAGCCAGCTCACAACCATCCATAACACCACTGGGCCTCACACCCTCTTCTGACCTCTGAGAGGACTGTATTCATGTACAAACAAGCACACATGTGCATGCACACACACGGAGAATAAAATAAATCTTTTTTAAAAAGACAGAAAGAGAGCATGGCAATGGTGGCGCACGCCTTTAATCCCAGCACCAGGAGGCAGAGGTAGGCGGATCTCTGAGTTCAAGTCCAGCCTGGTCTACAGAGTGAGTTCCAGGACAGCCAGGGCTACACAGAGAAACCCTGTCTCGGAAACAAACAAACAAAAGACTAAAAGTCCATCCAGTTCAAGGATAAAACTCTGCATAGCCTGCTAGGTCTTGGATTAGATTGCCATCAATGGGAACAACAGAGCAGGACCAATCCAGACACTGTCAGGACACAGGTCAAGAATAGAGCCCTGTGGGGAGAATCCTGAGAGCGTGTGAGAAAACCCTAAGAAGCCAAAACAAGAGTCTGTGACCTGAGTTTCTTCAAAAACCATGGAACTGTTCCTGCTTTCGTGCCCTTCCCAGGCGTAGTGGGTAGGAGAGAGTCTGTTTCAGATTGATCGTCACCATGACTACTGATATTTGTTTATGTGTCTCTATGGAAAAACATGCTTTTGTTGCATGCAGCTTGTCTGCCATGCGTGACTTGTCCTCGCGATTTGGACACCTTACTCACGTGACTCCTCTTACCTCAGAGTACAAACTGTCTGATGCTCTGAATAAAGTCGGCTATTCCCACCTCATTCATCGGCTCCACTCTCCCAGGTCCTACCATCTCTAGAACTGAGACAGTTCTCTGTGTAGCCCTAGCTGGCCTAGAACTCAGAGATTCATCTGCCTCTGTCTCCCGACTGCTGGGATTAAAGTCATGCTCCACCACACCCAGCTATCTTTTTGAGTGCAATGGTAATAGTATAAATATCTATCAGAGTATATGCAGATAATACTAATGGTATCAATTTCCCCCAAACGGTCAGAACGTGGTGGTAAGGAGGATAATTATGACCATTATTTATTATTTTATTTATGAGGGCATGCCTGCTATAGTGCACATGTGGAGGTCAGAGGACACCTTGAGAGTCAGCTCTCTCCTTCCACTATGAAGGCCCCAGGGATGAAACTCAGGACATCAGGTTTGGCTGCAATCTATTGTCACCACTGAGCCATCTCTCTCATTGAATCCCCAATTTTATAAAGGTCACCTAAGGGGTGTAGCTTGGTGGTAGTGTAGTAAGCAGGCTGGCGGTGCTGGGTTTCATCCCAGTAGCGACAATCAATCAACAAAGCCTGCAATGGCAGTTCTTGCCTGAACCCCCAGAACGCGAGAGGCAGGCGCAGGAGGATCAGAAATTTAAGTTTGTTTTCAGGGATACGTGAGACCCTGTGCTAAAAGCCCAATCAATAAGCGAAATTTTAAAAATTATATGTGGCCTGGCATTGTGGCACACCCTTTTAATCCCAACACTCTGGAGGTGGAGGAGAGCAGACCTCTGTGAGTTCAAAGCCTGCCTGGTCTATGTCTAGACTGTAAATTCCAGAACAGTCAGAGCTATAGAGAAACCCTGTCTCAAAAAGTAAATGCAATTTAAAGTAAGTTCATAAAAAGAAAGGTTTCTTTGCATGCACATGTGGGGGCCACAGGTAAAAATCATGGACTGTGGAATATTCCTTTACACTGTGTGAATATATGTTGCTGTGATTGGTTTAATAACAAGCTGAGGGCTGGAGAGATGGCTCAGTGGTTAAGAGCATTGCCTGCTCTTCCAAAGGTTCTGAGTTCAATTCCCAGCAACCATATGGTGGCTCACAACCACCTGTAATGAGGTCTGGTGCCCTCTTCTGGTCTTCAGGCATACACACAGACAGAATATTGTATACATAATAAATAAATAAATAAATAATAAAACAAACAAGCTGACTGGCCAATAGCTGAACAGGGTAAAGTTAGACAGAAAAGTCAAATTGAAAATGCTGGGAAAGAGAAGGGTGGAGTCTGGGTTCACCAGCCAGATGCCAAGGGTCAGGAGATGAATGTGCCATGTTAATAAAGGTACCACCTTGTGGCAGAGTGTAAATACAGAATACCAGTTAACTTAAAATGTAAACGCTAGTTAGTAATAAGCCTGAGATATTGACTGAGCATTTGTAATTAATACAAGCCTCTGTGTGGTAATTTGAATGTGGCTCCCGGGATGGGAAAACTCCACCTACAATTAGGTGTTGTCATCGGTTGTTTAATATTATTTTTTAAAATGTGTTATGGGTGTTTGCCTGCAAGCATACCACTCTACCGCCTTTGTGTCTATAGCCCTTGGAGGCTAGGAGAGGGCATCAGATCCCTTGGAGCTGGAACTACACACAGTTGTGAGCCTGATAAAATGGGTGCTGGGAATTGAACCTTGGTCCCATGGAAGAACAACCAGAGTTCTTAACCTCTGAGCCATCTCTCCAGCCTCCACCTTATTTTTCGAGAAAAGAGTTTCAGTGACTGCTGGGAATCCAAACTCAGGCCTTCCTTCTTTGACTATAGCCACTATAGTTCTCCAATTCTTTTTTATTTATTTATTTATTTATTTATTTATTTATTTATTTATTTATTATGTACACAGTGTTCTGCATGCATGTAAGTCTGCACACCAGAAGAGGGCACCAGATCTCATTACAGATGGCTGTGAGCCACCATAAGGGTGCTGTGAATTGAACTCAGGACCTCTGGAAGAGCAGCTTCTGCTCTTAACCACTGAGCCATCTCTCTCCAGCCCCCTATTTCTCCATTTCTAACACATCAATATTCCCGTTATATAGATGGATGCTGCAGTCTGGACATCCCCCAGACCCTATGCCTCTGAAGTTGCACGTCTGTGCTCCTGGCCCCTAAGCTCGATGAGACCCACGCAGAGACCTACTTGCTCAGTTCAGCTGTCACCCAAGCCTCCCACACACTGTCCCCATGGGTGTTCTCACCTCAGGGGGGGTCCACAGTTGACCAGCGAGATAGTCCTACTGATGTAGGTTTCAGAGGGCAGTTCTCGGATCCCTGGGTTCTCGTGGAATCGCTCCACTCGCTGCTGAAAGCTGACAGGAGAGGGGACAGTGGGCACAACACATGGCACATGCTGCTGGGTCGGAATCCGTGACGGACACTCAGTCTGCCAACTAAAGCAGATCCTACTCCCCGGCATCTCCGATGCTCCTTTTCTTACTTTCAGCCACCCAACCCAAGTGCTGGAGGTTGAACCCAAAACTCTTAGGTGTTAGGTAATCCTTCTAGGACTGAACCACACCCTAGCCCCTTACTGGGGGATTCTAGGCAAGTCTTCTACTGGTGAGCCACACCTCCAGGATTATTGTCTTTCCTTTCTTTTTTCTTTTTAAAGATAAATTTTATTTCAAATTATTCATATGCATGTGACTCTGTGCACATGCGTGCTGGTGCCTGGGGAGACCGTAGACAATGCATCCTCTGGGGCTGGCGCTATGGACAGACACCAGCCATCTCACATGGGTACTGGGACTGAACTTAAGTCCTCTGGGGCACACTTCCCCAGTCCTCCTCTGCCTTCCACCCCGACTGTCTCAGTGTGAACCAGATCCCAACGGCCAAGCCAGCCCCCTTAGACCCACCCTCTTCCTATGCCCCTTACCTCTGCAGGAACTCTGCCAGCCCTCCCAGGCAGCAGTGTGCCATCCTCTCCACAAACTCCTGACTGATGCGGGGTGCTCTCTCTGTGTGTTCTTCCAGAAGCTGTGTGGGACAGGAGGAAGTGTGGAGACACAGTGGAGGGGTTGGTCCCCCTCCCTCCCCTCCCACGCCCCAGGCTATCCCCTTCCTCCCATTACCTCACAGACGTCTTGGGCCAGGTTGCTGGGCCTGTAGTCCAAGCTGCCCCACTGTTCCTCGTCTTCCTGAAGCACTTGAAGGAGGGCTGCTCGGGTCTGAGTCTGCAGCAGGATGGTGGACCAGCAGACGTTAGGGAGCTGGGGCCTTACTATCCTCTCACCACCATCTAAGCACCTTCACCAAGAAGTTCTGGGCTCACCCCACAAACCCCAAGATCAAAGAGATACTTGGAACCCTCCCCACCCCACCTTTGCCTCCTCCTTTCCTACCTGTGGTCTAGGACTTAATATTAAAACCATGTGGATTTTTTTTATGGTTTATTTAACTTTATTTTATGTGCATCGGTGTGAAGGTGTTAGATTCCCTGCAACTGGATCTTCAGACAGTTGTGAGCTGCCATGTGGGTGCTGGGAATTGAACCTGGGTCCTCTGGAAGAGCAGTCAGTGCTCTTAACCACTGAGCCATCTCTCCAGTCCCCCATGTGGTTTTTTTTTAAAGATATAGATAAGGCAGTCGGTGGTGGCACACACCTTTAATCTCATAATCTCAGCACTTGGAAGGAAGAGGCAGGCAGATCTCTGTGAGTTCGAGACCAGCCTGGTTTAGAGGTGCAGGACAGTGAAGGCTACACAGAGAAACTTGCCAGAGAGAGAGAGAGAGAGAAAGAAAGGGGCGGGGGGAGAGGAGAGATGGTGTTGATTTGAATGATGGTGTTGATTTGAATTTGATATATCTATGTTTGCTTTATTTTATTATGTGGTGTGTGCGTTTATGTGTGTGTTTGTGTGTGTGTGTGTGTGAGAGAGAGAGAGAGAAAGAGAGAGAGAGAGAGAGAGAGAGAGAGAGAGAGAGAGAGATAGAGAGAATGTAGGTGCCCAGAGAAGCCAGAAGAAGGTGTCAGATTACCCTGGAGTTGGAATTACAGGTGACTACGGGCTGCCTGATATGGGTGCTAGAAACTGAACTCGAGTTTCACTCAGCTGCTGAACCATCTCTCCAGACCCAATACCATATGTGTGTGTGTGTGTGTGTGTGTGTGTATACATATATATCTCACATATATACATATATGTTTATACACATAAACATCTATATTTGTTTTTCATTTGTTTTCGAGACAGGGTTTCTCTATGTAGCCCTGGCTGTCCTGGAGCTCCCTCTGTAGACCAGGCTGGCCTTGAACTCAGAGATCTACGTGCTCCTGCCTCCTGAGTGCAGGAATTGGAGGGGTGCACCACCACAGCTGACTACACCTTGTATTTTAAGCTTTCTCTCGCTGTCGAGGGGTTCAAAGGTGTCCATGTTACTGTTTGAGGGTGGAAGACTCTTCTACTGGGTTCTGCTGAGCAATTAGTTTAAAGCACTCACATTTGGGCTGGGGAACTAACTCAGTGACAGAACCCTGACCTCACAAGAGCAAGGCTCTAGGTCACTCATGGCGCCATACACAGGAAGAGACACATCTAAAAGTTCTGTATTCTGATTCAAGAATGCCAAAGGCTAGTGGATAGGTATTTAGCTTGGCGGTAGAGCACCTGCCTAGAATCTCCCAGTGAGGGGCTGGGGTGTGACTCAGTGGTAGAGCACCTGCCTAGAGTCCCCCAATGAGGGACTGGGAGTGTGGCTCAGTGGCAGAGCACCTGCCTAGAATCCCCCAGTGAGGGACTGGGAGTGTGGCTCAGTGGCAGAACACTTTCAAAAGGTCCCTGTTCCATCCCAAGAATATGTGGGGGGCACAAAAGGAATTTTCGAGGTTTGCCTATCTGATTCACTAGTGTCCTCAATTGAGTGAGTAGCTTTACACGTGTGGTTCCATGTACATGAGGTAAGACCTATCATTAACCACTTGTTTCTGAGACAGAATCGCACTATTCAGCCCTGGCTGGCCTGGAACTCCGCATGTAGACCAGACTGGACTCATCTGCTTGCCTCTGTGTCCCAAGGCCATGACGAAAGGTGTCGCCACCTGTCTTGGCTATTCCCTGCTTCTCTTCTCGGCTGTGCGAGCATACTGTCAAGATGCCTACATTCCGGGGTGCTGTGAGTATTGGGGTCTTGCAGTGAGACTCTGGGACCGGGGTCTGAACCTCTCAAACCTTTGTGTGTTGGGGAAGTGTTTAGGAGGTGATATAAAATGTAGACATGGTCAAGAATGGTGCCGCAGGCAGTGATCTCAGCACTGGGGAGACCGAGCAAGAGGATCATGAGTCCTAGAGTGAGACTGTCTCAAAAAAATTCTGAGGAGAGAGAGAGAGAGAGAGAGAGAGAGGAAGAAGAGGAGGAGGAGGAGGGAGGAGGAGGAGGGAAGAAGGGAGGAAAAGAGGTATAGGAAGAAAAAAGAAGGAAGGAAGGAAGGAAGGTCTCCCGTGGATTTGCGTGTCAGTGGCCTTTGGACGGAACTCGGGTGACCACAGGGAAAGGGAAATGGAACCTGAGGCGGGGAGGAGAATCTGCCAAGCCCCTTGTGACCTCCAGAGTCCGTTAGGTACCTTCACATCTGTGACACATTCATCTTCCAAACCACGCAGGGTGCCAGCGGAAAGGAGGGGCCCCAGCTCCCCGTTCTCCAAGGCGACCATGTCTACCAAGCCCAGGATCTCCCTGGGGTGGGGAAAGAAGAGACAGAAGTTCTGTGAGAGATGGGGCTGAGCCCCGGGGCCCCTCCACGTGTCCCTACAGTCCCGGTGTCGGCGACCCTGGGCCACTCCCTTCCTCTCTCGGGCTGCCTTTCTCATCTTTCAAAGGAAGTGTTTAGAATTATGTTTCCCTTGGCTCCAGTACTCTGAGTCAGCTCTCCTGATGGATGGCGTCCGGGCAAGACTTAGCTGTCAAGTTCAGGCTTGACGAGCGGACTTGAGCTTCACGGGCAGTGGCTCCCTTGGGCCTCTAACTTTGGGAGCCTCACCTCACCAGGTTGGGGGGGTGCTTTCCAACTTAGCTGCGCATGTGCCCCTTTCAGGTGGGGCTAACATCCTCATCATCGCCCACTCCGCACCTCCCATCACCCACCCTCACCAGATTTTTCTCGTGGGATCTGCTTGGTCAGAAATGCCATCTTCCTCTGATTCATACTTAGCCCGCGTCTTATCTCTTCCAGGAGCTTTCCAGACCCACATTCTGCCGCTACCTGTCATGGGTAGTCTGAGATCTCCCCAACACGAATTCAAAGGGCTCTGCCTTCCTTTTCTTTTGATGACTGCATTCTGACCTTTTAAATATTATTAGGGACTAGGTAGCCCAGGCTAGCCTAGGGCTCACTGTATAGCCCAGGCTCACTTTGAACTTCTGATCTTCCTACTTCAGCCTTCCAGCTGCTTGAGAGCACAAGTGTGTGTGATTGGGCACCATGTTCTCATTTGCTACATCCCTTCATTCTCTGATGTGTGGTTTGGAGATGGCTAACTTCTTTCTTCCCAGAGAAGAACAATGGAGTTATCCCCTTCAATCCCCCCACAAGTATAGTCCATTTGGGGATTCAGAGGCTCAACAGATGTAAGATTCCAGAATTAGAAGGAAGGGCCCGTGGCGCTGAGTTTCCCAAAATTGTATCAGAACTCAGCGATCAGCAGTGTGGGGACAGTCAGGGTCAACAGTGACAAAGTCCAGTGACCAAAAGGGAGTGGAACGAAGGTTTAGGCTCCTTAGCACTAACTCAATAGGCTGGAAGAGTTATAAACCTACCAAGCCTTAAAAATATATATGAGCCAGGCAGTGGTGGCACCTCCTTTTATTCCCAGCAGAGACAGGCAGATGGATCTCTGTGAGTTCAAGGCCAGCCTGGTCTATATATCGAGTTCCAGGACAGTCAAGGCTACACACAGAAACCCTGTCTTGGAAACAAACAAACAAACAAAAACAAAAAAATATGTGGGGGTTGGAGAGATAGTTAAACTGCGAAGAGCACTTCCTGCTCTTGCAGAGGACCTGGGTTCAGTTCCCAGCACCCACACTGCTCACAATTGCCTGTCAGTCTAGCTTCACCGGATCCACCCCCCTCCACTTGTGGCTGCTGTTGGCACCAGCACACAGATACACATGCGCGAGCACACGTGCACATACACATGAATGAAGAATTTAAATCTTCATAAAATATCTGCCCAGCTGGGCAGTGGGCACACGCCTTTAATCCCAGGACGTGGAAGGCAGAGGCCGGCGGATCTCTGTGAGTTTGAGGCCAGCCTGGTCTACTGAGTTCCAGGACAGGTTTCAAAGCTACAGAGAAATCCTGTCTCAAGACAAAACAAAACAAAACAAAACAAAGCAAAAATCTACCCAGCAGGCTTGTCTCATTTGATACTTGGGAGGCTGAGAGGGGAAAATTGGAAGTTCAAGGCTTGCCTGATGAACAGAGTGAGTTCAAATACAATCTGGGGTACAGACTAAGACCGTGTCTCAACATGAAAAAATAAAGGGAGCTGAGGCTGTAGCCCAGTGCAGACTGCTTGTCTAGTGTGTGAAAGCATGCAAGACCAGGGGTTTAATTCCCAGAACAGAGGGACAGACAGAGACAGAGACAGAGAGCTACTGTTTTTGTTTGTTTATTTTATTTTGTTTTGAGACCAGGTTTTCTTGTGTAGCCCTGGCTGTCCTGGAACTTGTTCTGTAGGCCAGGCTGGCCTCAGCCTCACAGAGATCTGCTTGCCTCTGCCTCCCAAGTACTGGGATTAAAGGTGTGCACCACCACTGCCTGGCAAGAGAGCTGCTATTTTTTTAGACTATTGCATGTAGCATGATCAAAAGGGGCAGGTGTGCCATATGCATGCAGAGGCCAAAAGACATCTTTGCGGAGTCTGTTCTCTCCTTCCTCCCTAACATGGGCTCTAGGGTTCCAACTCACATTGCCAGGCTTGCACGACAAATATCGTTACCCCTGAGACACCTCACTGGTTCCTCCCAATTTTATTTTATTTATTTTATTTGAGACAGGGCCTTTCTATATAGCCCTGGCTGTCCTGTGTAGATCAGGCTGTTCTGGAACTCACAAAAATCCACCTACCTTCCTAGTGTCAGGAATACAGGTGTGGGCTATCACACCCGCTGCCTCTCAGAATTCTCTCAGACTGAGGGTCAGTGGGAGAGAGATCCACGTTGCTAACGTCCTGGGACTGGAAGGGTGGACAGCTCATCCCTTTCCAGAAGATCCACAGCACTGAGCTACTAGGCCCGCTGTGGATTAAACAGTGCTGAGAACTCAGAACGAGAACACCGATGGTGTTCTAGGCCTGGAAGGACCGCAGTGTTAAGATTTGAAGTCCCCAAGAGGCAAGTCACTAACACATAGGGTGTTACTATGGACAGTGCTAATGGCCCTGGCCTGGGGGTGATGGACTCTAGTGGAAGGAATGAATAAGGTCCAGTACGAGGACCCCATAGCCATCAGCGTTGAGTTTACAGAGGTTCTGGGGCTGTAACAATCAACAAAGCTGGTACAGGGACGGACACGAGTGATATATAGATGGTCCCACATTTGCCAGGGTCTAGTATGTCGATGCTCTAGTGTGCACCTCTAATCCCAGCACTAGGGACATCCTACTTGGCTTTAATTGCCAACTCGACAAAAACCGATCTAAGAGAGAATCCTCAACTAAGGAACCCTTCAGATGAGTTCACGGTGGAATGTCATAGAAGGGTGCAGCCCACTCACTGTGGATTACCCCATCTCTGGGCAGGGGATCCTGAGCCATATAAAGAAGCTAGCTGAGACACCTGCCAGCCAGCCAGCAGTACACGCCCATGGTTTCTACTGCGTTTCTGTGCTGTGAGTTCCTTGGTCCTAGGATACTCTCAGTGTGTGGAACAGCTAGCCAGACTGCCGTCAAGTTTCTGCTTAAGTTTCTGCCCTGATGTCCCTCGGTGAGAGACAATGAGGACTGAGACCTTTGAGCTGAATGAGTCTTTTCCTCCCATAAACTGCTTTTGGGCAGAGTGTACTTTTTATCACAACGAAAAGGAATGAAAGAATAAGGGAGGCAGAGGAGGATCGGAAGGAGAGCTTTGCAAAATGTCAATAGCGCAGATGACGAAATTTATCTGTTAATTGATGGAAAGAAAGAAGAGGAGGCAGAGCTGGAGCGATGGTTCAGCGGTTTGCTGGACTTTTTTTTTTTTTTTTTTTTTTTTTTTTTTTTTTGTGGGTGTTGAGGAGGATCTGAGTTTGGTTTCCAGCATTCACACTGGGCAATTTACACCTGCCAGTTACTCCAACTCTAGGGGGAAACAGTGCTTCTTTCTGGTCTCTTTCAGGCACCCATATGCCTGTGCACATACATATGCACAGATACGCATGCCTACAAGTAAATTAAAAAAAAAAGGAAAAAAGTTCAAGCTAGCCTGGGCTACACATGAGCCTCTTCCCCTAAATCCAATAACTCAAACAAGGTGTCTGGGGTAAGGTGCGTACGGCCCGGGGCGTCCCAGGCTCACCTGGGGTACACCTGATGGTGCCAATGCAGCAGGGCGTAGCGATCAGCGAGCGGAAGCCTGCGGCGCGCGGCCGCCCCGAGCCACTCGGCCAGGGCCTCGTGGT